CCCCCTTCTTCGCACACTTATAAAAAGATATTGTGCCTATGTATTTTTAATATTTTTCAACTGATATTGTAACAATATATCAGGAGCCTTGTATTAAATTTTTACACTATTTGGCCCAACCGATATAACTTTATTGATATTTATAGAAAAAAAAAACTAAAATAATTGAAAACTCAAAATGTCCGTAAACAGCTCAAAAAGAGTCAAAATATTTTTAAAATTGTATGGTTAGACTTAATTTGAAAATGTTGTAAGTATATTTTTGAAGAAAATGAGTTTAGACTAGTGGATATTGTCTGTATGTATACAATATATAGTACATATTTAAACGAATAGATACAGTAGTATAACTCTGACCGTATACTTTTAACATCAACTTTTAAAAAATTGTGTTTTGAAATTATGTGCTAAAGGCCGATATACGCACTTATAACTTTTTACCCACTTAGATCTAATCTTGGATCATGGTAACCATTGGCTCAATTTGGAAGACTAGGGGAGGGTTTAGACTCCTAGTTTTATTAAAGCCCCCCTAATTTTAATCAATTTTTTTAACAAATATTTTATTGATTTTTTTTTAACAAACAGAATTTTTACTAACATTTATATTTAATTTAAATTTTTTTAAAAATATAAATTTTTTATCAGACCGTCTTTTTACTAATTTTTATCTGTTACATAAAAAGGTGTTAAAACAGAAATCTCTGTTAAAAAAAATAAATTGATAAAAATGTTTATAAAAAAATCTTATAAAAATACGTTGATAAAAAGGTACTGGTTTGTTAGTTAGCCACGGCGAGTGAAAACTTTATAGCCCCGCCACTCAGGTTTGTTATCCCCCCGCCATTCATATATAATAATAATATCTTTAAAAATGGTTTCAAACGGATCACTATTATTAGCCCCGCCACTCAGGTTTGTTATCGCCCCGCCATAATATAATAAATATAAAATAATGAGACGGAAAATACGTACCACTACCATAACTATTAGGTGCCTACCATAGGTGTACATCACAAATAATCAATAATATAATAATATAATAAACTGATATTATACCGATCAAACATCACAGTACGTATTTGTTCGCATTTCAGACATCATCATGAATTTTAAAGATTTGTTAACACAAGTGCCCGATATAAATGCCGGAATTCAATTTCTCCAGTCCAAAAATATAATTGAAATGACCAATACATGTGATAATGGCCACGAAATGTTTTTGAAAGGTTCGAGGTGGCGATGTCAACGAAGGGATTGTCGTAAAGAGAAAGGTATTAGGGTAAATAATTGGCTGAACGGTTCGAGATTGCCGATAAATAGTATTGTGTATTTTATATACTCTTGGGCTCATGAACTTACTTCAGTGACATATTGCAAACGTGAATTGGGTATTGGAAAAAATGCGGTAGTCGATTGGAACAACTACTTACGAGAAGTTTGTGTTTGGCGCATGGAAAGCAACAATAACAATCAAGTAGGTGGTCCAAACTTAGGTAATAGTTGAAATAGATGAAAGTCTTTTCGTACGCCGGAAAAATAATGCAGGGCGTATATTACCTCAACAATGGGTGTTTGGTGGTATATGCCGTGAAACCAAGAAATGTTTCATAGTTAGTGTGCCAAATAGATCAGAAATTACATTGATACCTATTATTAACCGATATATTAGACATGGTTCTATAATTTTTTCTGACAGTTGGAAAGCTTATGCTAATTTGCAACCACATGGTTTTCAACATAATCAAGTCAATCATAAATATAATTTCGTGGACCCTAACTCAGGAACCCACACACAAAATGTTGAAAGAATGTGGGGTTCGGCCCATATGGGGCAACAAAAAACGTAGAGGGACGGATAGAAATTTTTTAGACTCGTACTTGGCAGAATTTATGTGGCGATCAAAACTGAATAATAGTGATCCGTTTGAAACCATTTTAAAAGATATAGCAGAATTTTGGGAATCACATAAAGCATAAACATTTTTATTTATATCATTTTTTTTATATTTATTATTATTATTATATTCAATTTTTTAATATAAATTTTTTTAAATATTATATATTATATCGTCAATAAATAAACTTTTTAAATTATATCACTGTTTTATATTATTATTATATATGAATGGCGGGGGATAACAAACCTGAGTGGCGGGGCTATAAAGTTTTCATAACAAACCAGTACCGATAAAAAATTCATATTTTATAAAAAAACATAAATTAAATCTATATTAAATAAAAAATGTATATTTTAAAGAAAATTTAAATTGAAAATAAATTTTAATAAAAATTCTGTTTGATAAATATCTATAAAAAAAACTATGAGATGAAAAATGGATAAGAAATTAGTTTTATAAAAAATATGTCAAAAAAAATTAATAAAAAATCTATCTGACAAAAAATTTATGTTTTGTAACAAATTCAAATCTATATATATAAAAATGAATTGCTGTTTCTTTGTCTCGCTAAAACTCGAGAACAGCCGGACGGATTTGGCTCAAATTTTTTTTTAAGATGTTTGTAATTGCCAGGAGAAGGTTGATACGAAAGAAAATTTTAGGAAAATCCACCGGAAAAGTAAGAAATCTGAATGTAAAAAATACAACAGTGGCGCCACAGTGTATTATAATTTATATTGGTTACTATTGGTTAATCGGGCATGTTTGATGATTTGGTCTTATGATGTATAGACGTATAGTCATTGCTAGATTGCTATTATCTACATTCAGTGAAAATGTCATCTATACTCAGTTATATTTTTTAGAGTTACATTAAAAAACAAAATCAATTTTTTTCAAAAACTGGGTTTGGGTAAAAATCTCAGTTTCTAGGTTTGTTTTTCTAGATGCTTTTGAAAATTACTGGGAATTTTTTACTTTAGACTTCCAAAGTACCAACTAGATTCACTTTTGTTCATTTTCGTTCACCTATTCACCACGAATTGGTTTTAATACTTTGAATTTTGTATAAACCATGGACAAATGAACTTACATTGGACATACTTATCAAAATATACAATAATATTTTCCTATAAATAATAACAGGAAATCAACTATTCTCTGCTCAGCGATAGACCGCGCCAGGCTGGTGCGACTCCTATACCCTGATATGTACCATTCGGCTGATGCTTAATACAAACACCGGGAGCGCTTATAGACAATCTTACAGCGCATGCGTAACACTTGAAAATAATTTTTCTAACTGCCGACTGCGTGTTTCCGACTTGCGTTTTGTGTCGTGTAATGTTGTGTTGTAGGCCTACTGTTGTGTTCACTTGAAAATAATTTTTCTAACTGCCGACTGCGTGTTTGCGACTTGCGTTTTGTGTTGTGTAATGTTGTGTTCATAATTATTATTATAGACAAGTTTAATATAATCATAGACAAGTATAATATATAGTAGGTATATATTAGTATAATACGTGTTAATATTTGTACGTTTTGTACTTATTTACCATGTCAACGCCACAACCTCTATATTATAAAAATATGTCAAGATGTGTCATTATTGGTTGTAAATCCAAAGGTAATATACGAATATAATATGTTTATTCATGATTTAATTAACAAAAATGTACATCATGGCACATGTCATTTACATACACGATACACCATATATGAACATTTTTGTCTTACGATTTTATTTTATTAGGTCTAGTATGCCATCGTTTTCCAAATCCAAACAGATACTTGGAAAGACTTCTAAAATGGATTGATATCATTGGTTTGGATAAAAGTGATGCATTATCTATTTACCAAAAAAAGGTAATTTGTGCTGATCATTTTGAGGACAGTTGTTCGAGTCCGGGCAAAAACGTCTCAACGTTAATGCCTATCCAACATTGAATCTACCAGGTATAACACAAAGCATATAGTAGATAGTAGACACCAGATATGTAAATTTTTTTTTTATAAAATACAGGTCAACAGTTATTACCAGTAGAAGATATAACAGTACCAGCAAATGTTAGTACTTCAAATGTCAAAATTCATAAAGTTGCTGATATTAATGTATCTGGCTCTGAAGTTGCTGATATTAATGTATCTGGCTCTGAAGTTAATGATCTCAATGTATCTGGCTGTGAACTTTTTGAAAATGAATTTGAAAACACACCTTCCAATTTCAAAAATTTAAAAGTTTCTCCATCCGTACTACGTGTAATGAGTAAGTTTCAGTTTATATTCAACACTTAACTTTTATAATTATTTTAGACATTAGTTATATGGCTTATGCTCGGTATGCTGAATGTTTGGGAAGTTACTACAAAAAAGTACTTAGGTACCTAACTTAAAAATAAGTTTCATTGTAGTAACATTATAATCATATTAAATTATTCCCCAACACTGCTTAATATGCTTAATATAAAATATGCAATGCTTTATGTAGATGATGGTGATGTAATATCAATGCATGTTGGCAATAGTAATGCTGTTAGTAGTTCATTAAAAGCTAAAAAGACAAATAATGCTATAGGTTAGTATTCATAATATATTTATTTTTAAAGTTAATATTTGATAATACCGTCTATATTAGTATTTAATTACTATCATCACATGAATTTGTTTTAATTACTTGCAGGATTGTTATGTAGTATTGGTGTTAAAAATAAAAGGCAACTTACTCCAAAATGTTTGAAACTGTATAACGCAACAAATATTTTGTTAAAAAAATGTAGGCGTGCCAAGAGCCAAAAATGTCTTTTTAAAGACAGACTGAAAGCAGCAGAAACACTTAATGATAATTATTTGACCGATAAATGTTCAAATAAAATAAATGCAGCCACTTCATTGTTTATGAAACTGCAGGTTAGAGAGACAAATAAGGCAAGTCGTGGACGAATATTTAGTATTGATGAAAAAATGTTAAGCCTATCATTGTATAAAAGGAGTCCTAAATGCTATGGGATGTTATCAAAACTTTTTACTTTGCCTAGTAAAAGGACACTCAACACAATTTTATCAACGGTATCTATTCGGCCTGGAATTTCCCCTCTTGTGATGAGTGTACTCAAAGAAAATGTAAAGAAATTGAAACCAATTGAGCGGTAAATATATATACACAAATAATTCAAATATTTCATTTATATTATTTTTTGTTTGCTTATTATGTAGATTTTGTTCAATTATATTTGATGAAGTGTGCTTGAATGGTGGACTGCAATTTAATTCGACCACTGATGTTATTGATGGTTTTGTTGATTCTGGAGATAATAAGAGTCAACTGCTTGCTGATCACGCTCTTGTATTTATGGTTCGTGGAATTAAAAAAAAATTTAAGCAGCCAGTATCCTATACATATTGCCAAGGAGCTACCAAACAACATGATCTTGTGCAGCAATTGAGAGAAGTAATGATACCATCTTGAATTTCAAATGATATTCATTATATAATATACACTATAATTGTTTTCAATAGGTAATTTGTCAAGTCCAAGCAACTGGTTTATGTGTAGTTGCCACAATATGTGATCAAGGATGTGCAAATGAAGGTGCTATAAATATTTTGAAAAATGAAACTAAATCATATTATGTAAAACATCAAAAAGATTACCGGGATGACATTTATGAAATTGAAGTTAAATCTGACGATGGTGTAGAACGCATTCCTATTGTACATTTGTTTGATGTACCTCATCTTTTAAAATGTACAAGAAATAACTTAATGACCAAAGATTTATGCTTCTCTTCTGATGGGGTCAAACGAATTGCTAAATGGGATCATTTAAGACAATTGTATGATACTGACAGTCTCATAGCGGACTGTAAAATGCTTCCTCGTTTGACTGACAACCATGTCATACCGGAAAAGGTACCAAAAATGAAGGTTCGAAATGCCACACAAGTGTTCAGTCAGCGGGTATCTGCAGTTATGAACTTTCTTGCTTGTAAGATTCCATCTTAACTATTATTCAAATATCAGAAATTAATTACTTTTTTATTTCTAGCTAAAAATATCATTGACCCAAAAGCTTCTGACACAGCAGCTGCCTTTTTATTTTTTGATAAGCTGTTCGATTCCTTAAATGGCTCATTCGATAAACAAGTTGACGGCAAAATATATAGAACATCTGTGAAACAAAATTCCGTTCATCATAAACTTTGGCAAGATAGTTTGAAAATATTATCAACAATGCAATTTGTTGGAAAGAATGGAAAAGCAGTTAGAGTACCAACACTTAAAAATTGGTCAACAACAATAAGAGGTAAATAATTTATAAACATTTGATTTAAAATAGTTAGAAATGCAATTATTAATTTTTATTTTTTAGGTTTTCAAACACTGTCGAAAATTCTTTGGAATAAAGGAATAAAATCATTACTCCCAAGACATCTGAATCAAGATTCATTGGAATGTTTCTTTGGTGCTATAAGAAGTGTTGGGTGTTCAAAACCAACTTGCAGTATATTCATTTCATCGTATAAAACTTTACTTCTCAACAATTTGGTGTCCTCGCATTCTCTGGGAGCAAACTGCGAAGATTTCAATGAAGACAGCCTGATGAGTTATAAACATTTATTTTCATTTCAACAAGAAGAATATCCTAAGCCAACTTCCACATAATTTGCCTTCCCAGAAAAACAAGTAGCTGAATCTACGAAGACTACTGAAGATTTAAGAGATTTAACGCATACCTACATCGCTGGATATATAATCAGAAAATTAAATAAATGTGTTTTTAAAAATTGTAAAACTTGTTTACAACAGCTGTGTAGTGATAATGCTCTTGATGAACATGCATTATTTAATTGAAGCTAGAGAATATCAGTCATCAAGACCATCTTTGAAGTACCCAGCTACTGCATTCAAATATCTAGTTCAAGACATAATTTCGTACACAAGCAAAATGTTGCCTTCAATATGTCATCACTCACAATTGAGACAAGCACTAATCACAGACATATTAACTAAGTTCAATGTTAATATTCTTCATTGTTCTAAACATGAAACAGATTTCTGTACAAAAATAGTTAAGTGTATTGTAGAGTTAATAATTAATCATTGGTGTACAGAAGTCAATAGGATTCTAACGGGAAAACGCAAGATACGACTAAATGAAAATGACCCTATATATTTATTTGCAAACACATGGTATTTAAAACACTCAAAAAAAAAATTGTTCAAGGTTTCAAGGTTTATATACTTGTCTATGGACCGCGCCGCACACCGACGAAAACTGGTTCCCCCGCGTAACACCCTGCCATTGGTGAACCGGGTTCGATAGCATGATGATGCGGAGAGATGCGCAGAATCGGAATATAAGTGAAGATCTATTTTTAACATTACTGGACGTAATTTATAAATTTACTATCGATAAAAATAAAACAGCCAGAATTAAACAGTGTATTATTATATTATATTATTATACACTGGACAATCTAGTATAGATAAATCTAGATAGTATAGATAACCGTTGTCGTCCGAGTCGATCGTGCTTGTTTACTTTTGGATAACATGAAATCGAAGCACGCATTATGATTGTACTCTGCGTCTACGCCAGTTAGAAGCACACAATAGCCGTCATTAAAAGAACAATTTTTTAATTGTTGATTCTGTTAGTGTTCTGTGTTTTAAGTGTTAAAATGGAATTTGAAGAATATTATTACGTGAAGAATGGCCAAGGAAGGCATAATAATGGTGTAACGTAAGTATACTGTATAGATACTTTTTTATTCATGAATTATTAATTTATTTTATCAACTGCAGTGATGGATTTAGAATGTAACAAAACTGTGTAGAGTTTTAGAAATTTACCTGACCCAGTGACCCCATTACGAAAAAGAAATAATATATTTTTAATGACCTTATAGGTACTACAAATGTAAATTTGCAAAAAAGTTTTTTTGTACTGCAACTTTGAAGGAACTTCCTAGTGGACAAAAGATTACAAATCGAACTCATAACCACGACGTGGATTTAAATGTGATTCGTATGGCACAATTTAAAAAGCGTTTTGAAATGAGATCTGCTACGGATTTGATTCCACTGACTCAAATTTATGACGAGGAAGCACGCAAGTAAGAACTAATTTGTTTATTATAAAATCGTTAGATTATCTGAAAAACCATATGTAGGTATGTCCGTTCTATCACTTGGTAGCCTAAATTAAAAGTTATTTTAAGGACGAATGCCGTGTCAATAGGACAGTACGACCTACGAGCCTATATCTTATACACAATGCAGGTATTCGTTTCCATACCATTATTCTGCCTAACACTGAGGGTAAACCTTAGCTGTAGGTTAATTTCTTATTTTTCATAAATTAAAATTTAATTTATATTTTCTTTATTTATTATACAGTTTTTTTAAGTTGAACCCTATTTAAAAAGTATATACCAACAATCTACATATTGATTCACCAAGCAAGATAGATTCTGAGGGGAGTGATAAATGCATTGATCTTACTTGTTGGCAAAAATGTTCAATAGATTGTGCCGAATTATATTTTTATTTGGGGATATTATTGGCCAAATTCAGGTCTTATCGTCTTATTATTTTTTTCATGTAAATACTAACACAATAAAACATACCATTGGAACATTTTTTTTACTATTTTCATTGTTATCGTTTTCATTTTTTTATTCTTTAAAATTCCTTATTCCAAAGCAAAATATTTATGGAGTATTTTGATCTATAAAAATTGAATTTTGGATGAGTAGCTTTTATGAGTTATAGTTTAGATGTGTGGAGTTGAGTGGTTAGGGGTACACCCCATAAAATGTAGTCCACCAATAAACTAGTTGTCGGAAATTTGATTTGTAGAGATCAAAATATTCTGAGTTATATTATGCTTAGGAATATGAAATTAGAAATACATATTGTCAATGAAAATAAAACTAAAAAAAAAAACCATAAGAAATATGATTATATTCCAAAAATATTTTTTTAAGAACTTAAAATTATATAAAAGAAATATTTTCAAAATAGTTAATTTTTCTCAAATAATGAGACGTGTTATATATGATTAATAGAAAACCACGTATAGTATTGTCTATTTTGTTTATATTAAAATATATTTAAATAGGTATTGTTAAAAAAAAAAAATTTAGTTTTCCAGAATCAGCCTCAAATTACACTAAACATTCGGCTGAGAGTTTTATGAGAAGGGCAAGGACATTGTCACTTCCAATGATTCCCGAGACCTTAAGTGATTTGGCCAATCAGTTTATAGCCGGAAATTTAAACAGATATAGTGTTGATGGCGAAGTAGTTTATAAAGGTAAACTCATATTAAACATATTTGATACAAATCTGAAGAAGATAAATTATTTTAATTTTTTATCTTGTGTACAGGATACAAATGGCAAACATTCTATAGTATTTGCATCACAGTCTCTGATAACTAATGCTCTTACTATGTGTAAGCGAGAATTACATGCTGATGCCACTTTTAGAATAGTTCCTTCAAAGCCTAAATGTTACCAACTTTTGACATTACTCGGTATAATAGAAAATCATGTAAGTTATTACCTACTTAATTTATTGTATAAGTATAAACTATCAATATGTAATTAAATACCTACTTACACTATGTTGTTAAATTATTTGTTTTTTATAGAGTATACCACTAGTTTATGCTTTGATGGAATCCAAGAAGAAATGTAGTTACCAAGCTGTGTTAAGTTACATTAAAACTCAACTTCTACCACACTTTAACCCCCGTAAAATACTAACTGATTTTGAAACTGGATTGAGTAAAACATTGCAAGACAACTTTCCTTCTGCGAGACGGATTGGTTGCTGGTTTCATCACAACCAAGTAAATAAAATGATTTTACATTATATTTACTATTTACAATTATTGAGGACATATTACACCAGCATTTGTTGTCTCCTACTTACAAATGCATGACATGGCAAATTGTACATTCTGAATAATTCATTTAACTCTATTAGTTTTCATATTGGAGCAAATTAACCTATTATCAAATTTAGAAGTAAGAATATTATCTAGTGAATCTCTTAGGTTTTTGTATATTTTAATTTTGAAGCAATTTATTAGTAAGTATTGCAAGACGTACAAACAATTTTAAATTAAAGATACTCATAACTCACTTTTAAATTAAAATATAAAATGAAACCTATGATATTCACAAGATAATATTCTTACTTTTAAATTTGATAATAGGTTAATTCACATAACAGAATTAAATAGATTATTCAGAATTCAATTTGATATTAGGTATATTATGCGTTTGTAAGACAGAGCCAATGCATGCGGGTGTAGTGCTCTCTTAATAGTTTTTTAGTACTTACCTAAATATATTTTAAAACTTATATATTTCTTCTTCCTAGGCAGTGTGGAAGAAGATGAAAAGTATTTAAATTTGGTGAATGAAAATCGACATGCTCTTAATACATTAAGACACATTATGGTGCTACCCTTGTTACCTGGAGATAAAATCGATCAAGGCCTAAGATCTGTAAAGAGATATGCACGAAGAAATGATATTAATATGAACCTACTATTTGATTATTATGAAAGGTTAGATTAGGAAAAATTATTTGTTTAAATTATTACCTATGCTGATACATACATTTTAATAGGTTTTGGATTGCCAAAGTAGGATGTGATGTATTATCTGTTCATAATCAACCTAGGAGAACAAACAACCATCTAGAATCATTTCACAATAAGTTGAGATATTCCTTTGGAGTGGCACACCCAAATCTGTGGACATTTCTTAGTCAGTATCTATTTTAATTTTACTTTTTTTTTAATCAAATAAACATTTACAATTATACAGTTGAATAAAATAACTGCTTTTTGATTAATTTTTATCCCAATAAGTATTGCTTGTTGTGAGGCAAAAAAGGTTACAATAGAAAATTTAAATAAAAAATAAAAAATAAAAATATTCAAGTAAATAAATTTACAGATGAAAATACAAAGTAAAAATGACATGATAATTTATGTGTGAATAAAAAATAACATACTTTACATACTTACGTTAGTTCATTTAACTTTCTTTTAAGTATATAGGTATGGTTTTTTTTACCTTTGTAATATATGTCACACACATTTATAACTATAATACACTTTTATTAATTTTTGCAAACTAAACTTATACATACAATGATAATATAATATACACCCCCAATCCTCATAGGTACTGTACTCGGTGAAGCCTATTATCTTCTTAAAGAATAAAAGAAAATATAAAAAAAAAAATATATATTGTTTTAGTAATACAAAAACAAAATAATAAATAAGCAGGGTATTTGCTTTTAATTGTTACTAACATGACCTTGTTTGATTTATTTTGTTATAGATAAGTTGTGTAATTTAATGCAAGGTACATCGATCGTAGTAAACCAACTATCGAATGGGCTGAATCCCACAAGGAATACAAGAGGAAAATTTATTGCTAATAGTGTAAAAATAAAATATGCTACTCAACAACTTACTACATCTTGGTCTCATTAACATAGAAGAATTTTTGAAACGTTGTTCGTATTCCGTGGCATCATACAAAGAACGATTAACAAATTTTTCACTTAACATAACATATGACAATGAAAATGAAGAAGACTATGGAATTCAAGAACAAGAAGGTAATCCACCATATGCAAAAGACAATATACACTGTGTAATATAGGAAGACCTGACAAATAAAATAACTTTTGTTCCAATTGATAATTTTTACAGACTCTTTCATTACAGCCTACATAATAATATATAGTAAAACATTTTTTTTTATTTTAAATAAAAAATAAAAAATTTTAAATCTTATATACATATTTCTTGAAAAATTATAAATAGCCAATTTATATATCAGGTAATATTTTTTAAAAGCTTATACTATTTGAATTTAAAAGTTCTTGATGACTGGATAAACTTTACAATAAACGTAATAAGATTTAACATTATTTTTTAAAAATAAACAATATGACAAACTTAACACAAATTTTTCTATTTTAAATTTTTCAAAAAAAATTTAACAGATTTAAAAATAGTACACTGTTCATGTAGAGCAGGCGTCAGTAAATTATATAAAAAATATTGATGATAACAAAAGTTATTTCATTTGTTAGATATTCCCGTTACAACTTACTGTGTATACAAATTCAAAATCACCAATAAATTATAGATAACAATCAAGAACCAGAAGATGTATTAATTGAGAGCGATAATGAAAGCTACAATAGACCAGTAAGTGACGATGAAACCGATGAATTAGGGACAATAGATGATGGTGACCATGAATTTGACAATATCCTGAACGTTAATGAACCAAATGATCTTGGAATTGAAGACAATTTTCAGGCAGAAAATGTAGATGATGGCCCTCTGTTGGAAAATATAGGTATTTACATAATATATTGTTTTATATTAAGTTATTGAAGTATTATAACAATTTTAATGAAAAAAGATCCATAATTTTAATACATTGTTTACTTACCTAAAAAAAAATGCTTGCTTGTTGTAAATAACCTCGAATCAATTCTAGATGATCAAATGGTGAACATTCAACAAAATGAAAGTGGAAACCAACAGGACAATGATTGTAAGTTAATTTGTTAATAGTAATCCAACAAAAACCTAACTGTGAAAAAAAGGGCATAGTCCACTTCAAAAACATTCTGCCTATCCAAGTATTGATATCTACATTGTAGCCAAGTTTATCTTTCTTTAATCAATAACCTATTAATACACAAATACATTTACATTCAACAGATATCTTTTAACTTAATTGCTTATCACTTGGCCAGTTTATTCTTATTTTGTCTCTTTGGTGTTGTCAACAACTGAAATAGATTTCAATCATCTACAGGTTATTTTCTTTGAAACATATGATTTGCCAGTCAGTCAGTAACAAAAATTCAAACTTTGAAGTGCCTACCAATTATTACCTAGATGGGTGTTTTTGATAAAAATAATTAAATTAATTTGTCGACAGTGATAAAATAACTAATCATAAGTGTGACTTTTCGCTAGTCGCTCTACGCTTATAAAAAATATATTACATATTATATTATGACAATGAGTCACACCAGTCACACCTGCAAATTGCAATCACACCTAACTAATTACTAAATAAATATATTCAGTAGGTACCTATCTAATTTATTCTTTTTATTTAATTTATTTTGTTACAGTTTGTTTGATGGATAGAATGCTGTAATAATCATCAATATTAGAGAAGTAATGAATAATATTTTTAAACCCTATATTGATGCAATGAAGTTCCTTAATCCTTACTAAATGAAAATAAACACTACTAGGGTAAGTAATTTAAATTAAATTTTTATAATTGTTGTTTAGATTAATCACAATTTAATTTAGATTTGTTTGAATATGAGATTGTTGGTCAAAACACTTAAATACCGAAAATAATTGTACAGCATCTGATAGTTGCTTTTGGTGAAGTGGATTGGATTAATACTCACAATATTTATGTTGGATACATAATGACAATACAAAATAGTATAGTAAGTTTATATATAGACTATATTATATTTATGTTTAAGAGTTAAGCATTATAAATTAGCCATAACTACAATTTAACCTGTTACAGTGTGTATTGTCCTAAGCTTGTACCTAATAATAACTAGATAAATACATTCAATATTATCTTCACAATTTGGAGGCAACAAAAGAAATTAATGTTCTTCATTAACAATTTCTATTTTTGAGTAGAAGGTTTTTAGTATTTTGTATTTTAAAATTACTTTACTACTACCAAAATATATTGTAAAAATAAATAAATATCTATAAGTTTAGTTATTTAGATTCAAATCGTGCAAACTGCACTATGGATTGAAATTATAAGTATTAATCTGAATGTTGTTGTTATTGTTTATTAACTGTATGGTGTAGTCACCACCCATGGCCACCTTAAGATTTTTTTCTGTTGATTTATTCAATTTATTTATTTAATTTATTCTATATATTCTTTAGATTAATACCTACATAACTGTGATAAATAATGCGAGTAGATTAATGAAATTATTAAATGCAAACAAATATGACAGAAACTTTTATTAAAAAAACAAATTACGTAATCTGAATAAATATATAAATAAAATCAACAACTTTTTAACAATATTTTAAAATTAATAATCAACACTTGGTAATATTTAAGAGATAGATCTATGGGTTTTAAAATAAATAGAGTTTCATCAATACCACCTATATAAATTCAGAAGTACACATTTTTAATTCTTAAAGATTTTGTTAAGCGATGAATGAAAAAGTGACAAACAAGATATTGAAAAATATTATAACAATGTTCTCAACTGTTTTTTTTTATACTTTTTATCACCCATTTAATACATTGGTGTTGATGAATACAACAATAACCATAGTGTCAAAAAAACTAAAAAATTACACTATTTTCAAATAAAATATAAATGACTGACCATAGAAGGGGTAGTGGCTATAGGTGGCGACTCCACCATACAAAAATAATATTATACTTTGGTATAAGTTCTTAGAACTTCTGAAACAAACAATAATTATTAATTAGTATAAGTTATAAGTATTAGCTATAAGTGTGTGACTCTGTATGGTGAACATTTTCGTAAATTTCAAAACAACACCTGGTTAAATGGAACTGTGATTGACGCACTGCTATTGACTTATGTGAATAATGAAATTGGTTATATTCCTGCGGAAATAAGCAATACAATTTGGTCAAGTACCAAAGTTAAAATAGCCAAATTTGATTGGACTAAATACTGTGTGTTATTTCTATCTATCAATCCTGAAGGTAATCATTGGACTTTATTTATTATGGACTTCATTTTGGGTTGTGTATTTTACTTGGATCCTCTGCGTCCAGAATCAGGTGACTTGTACTTACCTCGATTAAAAAAAATGATGTTTTCAATGTGTGGTAATGAAAAAGCAAAATATTTGCTGCATAAAATGGTTCTTAAAAATATTGAGTATCCTTTACAGAATGATAGTAATAGTTGGGGAGTGTTTGTGTTGTATTATTGGAGTACATACAATCCAATGTTTACTCAGAGCTTTTCAAAGGAAGTTAATGTGAGTGATTTATAGAAATACATTGCAGCATTGATGTTTAATGTACTCTGATAATATCAGTGAAAGATGCCTTATGTGTGCACAAAATATAAAAGTAAGTTTTACTTGGATTAAGTGCTTTACATGTGAGCGAAGAGTTCTTAATGTGTGTGTAGGTGGTGTATGCTACAAATTTATGACTAAAGAATTAAAAAATGAAAACTTCACTTGTATCTTATGCAATAAGTATATTAATTAAGTACCTATTTTATAATTACAAACTAATAAAGTACAAAATAAAAACTAATATGAAATAAAGATAAACAAACTAATACAATACCTATTGTAAGTAATGAAAGGTTGGTTGTATAAGTTGGGTTTAATTTATAAATTACACGTAGAGTAAAATGGAATCTATTACCTAACATAAAATTGGGTACCTATGTAACTAAGTCATATCTTTAAAAGTGGGAATTAACTAGGTAGGTAGTAAAAATGTTTAAATTTAAAAAAAAAGTTAATTGTTTTAAAATTAACTTAAATTCAGAATGTAACCAGTTAAATTTATTATTTATCAACTTTTGACTTAGAACAATCTTGTGTTCACTTAACTTAGGTTATCTTGAGTTAATTATATTCATTAACATGCCCAAAATTGCAAATCTTAGTGTTAACTCCGCCATTGACGGTCCTCAGTCCGTATGAAAAAGGAGGAAGGGCGCTTTAAAGACATTTTTCTTTTTTAATTGAAGTATTAAAAATTAATCATGCCTCTCTTGGTTTTAAAGTAATGTATTATTCTTTTAAATGGTTTTTAAATCTTAATATTATTTTCTATATTGGGTTTTTTTTTATTTTGTAGGATATACCATACTGCCATTGTCCAACTGTGAAGAAGTAGGTAGCCAATTTTAATAGTGCAGATCTTCGAAGACCAGTATGTGTAGATGTGTATTGGAAAATGGCAAAATATACATAGTTCAGACTTCAGAAATTTAGTTAGAGATGATTTATGGAAATTGGATTCATTAATCTTTGGACATTCAAAGTAACTTTATGATAAACATTAGTAAAACCCTATTAAATGCATTTTTTAATTTTTTAGACTATACCATACTACCATTGTCCGACTGTGAAGAAGTAAGGTAGCCAATTTTAGTAGTGCAGATCTTCGAAGACCAGGATGTGTAGATGTGAATTGGAAAGTGGCAACATATAACTAGTTCAGACTTCAGAAATTTAGTTAGACATGACTTATGAAAATTGTATTCATTAATTTTTGGTCATTCAAAGTAGCTTTATGATAAACATTAATGAAACCCTAATAAATGTTTTATCTATCTAATAATTGTATTAAATATAATTAAATAAAATTTTATATTTAACTTATGATTAATACAGCAAATAACTAAATTACTAATTGGTACAATTTGAATATTCCAATTCAAAATTGTTCAAAGAACTTTGTATTTACATTTTTCTAAAACAAATAATAATTTGATAATAATAATAATAATAATGACACAGTTTAACACTTAAACCATAATAAGGATCAGTGGTGTTCTACAGATTCTGAATTTTTTTTAAACTTATTCATTACTTTTATAATTTTTAATGACAAATATATATGTAAACTATTTTATGCTATTTATGCATTGTTTAATATATTATAAAATGTAAAAACCTATATAAATATTAAATACTGTTTTATTTTACGGCTGTGTTACGCAAAAATTTTATAAAATATTAAGTGTTCAGACATTCAAAAAGGTTATGAATATATTATACATAAAATGTTATATGCATTATTATTTATATTATTGGTACTAGAATATTATTACTTTTTTGAGATGTTGATCAAGGTTAGTGTAAAAATATAAATTACACTTAAGTAAACGGGGGCTGTGAAAAACATTAACCGATAGTGTTATACAGTTCATTAGTACATAATATAGTCAGAGTTGTCTATCATAAAGTACTATTAATTGTATGTGTATATTAAATTTATTATATTGGTATGATTGGTAGTAATTTGTTTTGAATTTAGCAATATAACTTCAGTAATATTTATACGAGATAAATATTTCAATTTTAATGACATTGAACATAAACAATAACGTATAATGATTTATTTCCATATTTAATTATTCAAATAATGAATCGTTATATGTAAGATTGTTTATTTAAGTTCAATAAGTTGACATGTATGGCGTAGAGTCTAGGAGAATAAATTAACAATCTTATATAATGTTTACGGCTTACCTGAAACTACCTAAACACATAAATAATACATAAGTATATAGTTTAATATGTTATTACTTTTTGTCTTACCAGTTACTATGTTAAGACTCATAAATCATAATCGACACAATCTAAATACCACATTACCACTGCCTAATAAATATACTAAGTAAAGTAGTACACAATATGATTGGAAATGTATGTCATTATATTATATTCAGTTGCAAGGCCATATCCAGAAATTTTTTTTGGAGGTGGGTCCAAAACATGTATATTGTAATTTTATTGAATTTATATGTTTTGATATTTGG